TTGAATGTTATAGTTTGCTGTTTTATAAATTAACCTCCTTCGAATTTTTATGGACGAAAAATGAAGTTAAGACTTTTTTATGGCGCATTTAATTTTTCGCCACCCTGTATTTAGTTATTATATGATTGCTTACCTTACTGTTATGAACATATAGTTATTACATTGTTGTTAATGCGTTACATTATTTACTATACTATACTATGACGGTTATTGATACGATATTGTTATGAACAAGACTATTGAAAACGGCTGACCTTCTTCCGCTGATATCTTGCGTTCAGTGGAAATATTGGACGATTGTGTTGAATTCGTATCGAGAAGCTGATTTTCCTTAATCAACAGGTAATTAGGAGCGATTTTATGATAGTAGCCGAGAAAATGAAGCAAAATATTCATATGTAGGTTTTTTCTGGGATGCGCCATGCATCCTCATCACTTTTAGAGTACGACTGGTTGCAGAAGTTTGATACGGGTCCCTGATTACAGATTTTCCTGTGACTTACAAGACTCTTTCAGGACATGGAGCGTTTTTTCAAAATGGTTACCTGAATGTTGTAGAGGCTCATGTGAGGAACACAGAACCATGGTCCATTTTTCCTGAACGCCCCCAGGAATGTCAAAAGCGGGAAAATGGTCCAAAGTTCGATCCTCCGTGATGACAAATTTTTGCAATTTATGTTGGCGCCTCCAAATTGCCGCAAAACACGACAATGACATCTATTCTCGACGATGGCGCCATTTGGCGGCAATCTGGGGCGCCAAACTATATTGCAAAAATTAGTCATCACCGGGGATCGAACTCTGGACCATTTCTTCACCACTGTTTTGACATTCCTGGAGGCGTTCAGGAAAAATGGATCATGGTTCTGTGTTCCTCGCATGAGCCCCTACAACATGCAGAAAACCATTTCGAAAAAGCGCTCCATGTCCTGAAAGACCTTCCTGGTTAGGTATGATTCAATGGCACACGCCATGCCAAAAATTCGACGGAAATTCTGTTTGAGATAGGATCCAGAGGTAAGAAATGCCGCCAGTGATGAAAAAAGGGAAGGAAACCTAGGGAAAC